TTTGATTATTTAATCCTTTTAATTTATTGTTATTAGTTAGGTCATTAGATTAGTCCGGGGACCTTAATTACAGGCCTACAGCCTCCTTGGTCCTCGGCACTTGTAGTAGTTAAGTTAAGTTGCAAATTACAAGTGAAATAAAATGAAATGAAATGAAAACTGGAAAATAATTAATTAACAATGATTGAATTTCTGCAAAGGGGAGAGACAATCTTTTTCTTCCAGTTGTTTAATTTTAAAAAAATCTGTATCATTTACTGAAGGCATATTGAGTCAGGCCTAAACAAACAATCAAAGAAAAAGAGCCTACCAAGGTATCTATTTATTGAAAACTGGTGGCGGGTAATGGGGAAAAACCACCTTTTTCTCCCAGTTTTTAAATTTTAAAAATCTGTATCTTTATAATCATTGCCAACTTTTTCGTCAAACACACTGTCCAGACTATTAAATTTTATTTGATAAAAACATGTGACATGCCTAAATATGGTCATGATGACATCACATCATGACCATATATAGGCACACTATGATTATATATGGGCATACAACAGTGTTTTTATAGTGTGGACAGAGCTTTATAAAAATCGGTTGTACAACGTACCAAAAAAGTTTTTTCCTCCGGAGCCTAAATCCTCAACATGGTTGGACATGATATCAATACAGTTTTCATATTTTTGTGTTTTAGGGTTATGTAGTTGATCCGGATGAGTTACCATGGTGTTGCATATGTAATGAGGATGCGGTACTTCGCTGTCTAGGATGCGAAGGTGACTTGTATTGCAAGAGATGCTTTAAGTAAGTTTAGTGTGGACACAGTTGCAGTTGAAATCTAAATTTCCAGCTTAACAAAAATACACAGCGAAAGTTAGAAACCAAATAGGGCAGGCCATGCCAAAACCAGCATTTGTTACCAAACCATGGAAATTGAATTTAAATATACCGTAAAACCTCGAATTGAAGCCCAGTGGGCTTAATCTCGAGATGAAGCCCATCCTGAATTGAAGCCCTCTCTTTAGTTTGCAAAATTAGCCTAAAAATGAAGCTTATGGGCTTCTTTTCAAGATAGCATAGTCTTCTTTTTGAAAAAGTACAGTACAAACACTGAACATGATTTTCAGAAAACAAAATAAATTAAAAACAAGCTTGGTTTATACAGTAGATAATGCCATTTAAATACACTTCATGATACAGATTGATGTTACAGTAGCCTTATTTATTGTTTTATAATACAAATTCACAAAATTTACAGCATTCATTTTGAAAAGAAGGCCCCCCCCCACTCTTTACTTTGAAAAAGTAGCCTTGAAAAGAAGCCCATCTCGAAAAGAAGCCCATTCAAAGTTCGCAAAAAAAAACTCTTTACTCTGAAAAAGTAGCCTTGAAAAGAAGCCCATCTCGAAAAGAAGCACATTCAAAGTTCGCAAAAAAAGCTCAGGGCTTTAATTTGAGGTTTTACGGTATTCATATTCTCCACATAATAAGCTTTGAAATGATAAGTCATTTACTGGAATTGACTTACTATTGCCAAATTTATGATTAAAAATATTGTACTGTACTACAATATTGCCACATTCTAATGCTAATTACCATGTTTAACATTTAGCCACACTACACTGCTTTGGTTGGGATGGCAACCCTCACATGGTATTTTTATGGGGAAAAAACATAGCTTGTTAAATAAGCAAGGAAACAATATTATATTATATAAATTATTTAAAAGAAAAGGAATTTGTGAAAAACTGTATAGCTTCCTGTTTAAGCATTTATTCTGATATATTCTATTGATGTGTATTTTCAGGGAAGGCCATGATGATTTTGGAGAAACTCACGAGACTGAGCAATACAAGAAACCAAAAAACAGGGACAAGTGATGGAGAATATTCAGGCAATTTAAAGCAGTGCTTCTTTCCTTGTTCAGTGCTAAAACCAAATGATTATTTTGCATATTTCTTTTACTCACTGGGCGAGACTTTTCTTTATATTTTTTTCGCAAACTTTTTTTTTAAATATTGTCAGAGGGGTGGGGGGGCGGAAAATCGAAATCGATATCATCATTATTAGCAAGCGGGGTGTTCGCTAAACAATGTATAAAAAAAATTCTTGCCCAAACAACTATATAATGTTGAAATTGATTCATTTTTTTATAAGATAGTGTTCAATTTATAAAAATAAATGTGATTATAGAGAAAAAAAAATATACGAAGTCAAAATATTTATAATTGTTATATTTAGTATTTTTAGATATTTATATATTTTAATGATCAAGGTTTTAAAATAGTGAAATTGAAAGACATTACTCCTGGACTGGGGGTCGCCACAACAACAAATCTTGTTTAATGCATTGTTTTTTCAAAGTATAAATTGTGTGTATATGGTTAAGCCATGAATGCCATCGATTATACAAGTGCGATGTATTAGTTACACTATTATTTACATGGTAACAACACATAGGGACATAAATCTGGCAATATATAGCAACAAATCTTTTGTTATAGTTACACTCAGAATTCAGAAAATATGAAGAGTACATTGCTTTTTCCTTTTTATAGAGATTAAAAAGAAGTCTAGCTTCAAAAGGCTGACGAATTTTTATTCTCCATCGACAATGTGTCGATTATCTACAGTATGTACAATTCTTATCTACTGTATTTATATACACTCAAGTATCTTTTGGCAGAATTGGCAGAACAATAGACACTCTGCAAAGATCGAGTATGCCCTTTTAAATATATGTTATGTATTTGGGTCTTAATATGTGTGATTACGCAGTAGGCCTTACTGACTTTGTTCTTGTTGATATTGAATTTGTGAAATTACGAACAAACTTCACGCTCTTAAATATACAATGCAGAAGGAAAGGGTATCATGTTTTATATTAAAAAAACTGTACGGTAAATTAAATTTGTTGTTTTCAAAAATTGTTGGCGGCCTTCAAAATATTGGCGACCTTACTTTCGGTTGCGGCCCACAGTTTGAATACTTGGGTTCTAATGTTCTTTATAGCATGGCCGTCGATCCGTTGTGAGGGGGGGGGCGGCGGGAGGG